GGAACTTCTCTTTCGTAAAGAACCTGATTCTAAATTAATCAGTTCATTGGATATTGAAAATTATATAAAAATTCTCGAAATCACTAACGCTCATCGAAAGAGATACGAAACAAATGAGAATATCGCAATAAGCATGTAAATAAATTCAAAAAGTATATTGGACCAAATTTATCTTTGAGCAGTAGCGCTAAGAAGCGAAAATCGACTATTGATGGAAAAGGTCTTTTTCCTAACTATAAAATAGCTAGAAAAGGAACGTTATTTGATTATGTATATTGGAATGATCCAAACGAGCTCGTTGATCGATTGAGATTGCTTATTGCCGAACAAACCGCCGGTAATTCTAGTCATGTTAATGAAATTCATTCAATTATTGAAGAATTACGTGAAGCTGGCTATATATATTAAGAGAATCCTAAATATTGCTCAGTAATAAAATGAGTGTTGATGTGTTTGGACGTATATTGAATAAAAAAAAGGAGGATAATAGAGCTAAAGTCTTTCTTTGATAGGATATAATTCGGCCCAAGTTTCTTATAGCGCGAGATGTTCTATAAGTCGAGCTCAAATTATAAGGAAAGGTTAGTCTTGCTTAGTTAATCACAATGAGAGAAAGAACTTAGGTATTAATCCAAGTTTATTCAGACTCATGCGCTTACTTTGCAAGGCTAGAAGTGAATGAATCTAGCCTGTGCAAAGGTGGGCCTATTTATACACAGATTTTCCCGCTTATTATTGCAGGAGAGATTTCATCGAAAATTCGAGAGACATTCGCGAATTTTTTGAGAAATGATTTTTCTTAATTTACAAGTAAATAACCATTAATATTAAGTTTTTAACACATGTAAATTTTACAGAATTAGTTATTTGTTGATTTTATACAATATACAATTATCGCCAATAGTGTCGTCAAAAGTTATTAACTAATAAAGTTAATTAACGTGATATTACATTATTTACAATAGAAAATTATTAAAATTTCATATAACTTTATAGTTTATTAATTTTGGAAGTATTTTCCAAAATTAATTATTTAAATTAATTAATAACATTTGAATTATGACTAATTTTTCATATTTGTAACGGTTTTCTTCTAATCTTAATATGCGATTATTAGATTAATTATCTAAGATTTCTAAATCATAAAATTGTCATTATCAAGTATTAACTTAATATTTTCGTTCTATATATAGCTTATTGTTTAAATAAATTATTAATTGTTTATTTATTAATAACAGTTGTTATTTAGCTGTTATTAATGAAACCAATTCTTACTCATGTTCTATGCTTATTCATTTTACATATAAATTATTTATATTTTTCTAATATTTCATATGTTAATAAATAAATTAACTTTACATATTGATATTCATTATTAATTTATAATTGAATGAGATATTGTGAATCTGTATGTTAAAATCTATATAATCGATACTTTGTTATATTCAAATTATCTATAATTAACATATTTTTCTCAACATTATGGATCATTATATCTATGTCTATTATTTGTGACGTCACGCTATTTGTTTTGACTCGACTCTTATTTGTATACAGTCGCGTAAACAGTGAGGTAGCGCCGCTTAATGTATTGTTTTGACTAACAGATAAATACGTTAGACTAGTTGCAGTCATTTAATAATTTAATAAATAGCTCATATATAGGACCGTTACAATTTCGTGCGAATTTCAGATAAAATCTATACACTTGAATTGTTGTGGCTACTTTGAGGGCGACCCCAAAACGCCTTGTTTGAGTTTTGCTTCCGTTGATTTATCTTGGGAAGAAGTCTTCTTATCGGAATGCGTTTTGTCCTTATAGTTCCAAATGCTGGTTCCTAGACTACGAACAGCTTTTCTCTGTCACTGATTATGGGAATTATGTTTGTAATGAATTGACTTGCATATTTTAGGGAAAAAGCCGATCAACAGCATAAAAAATCCTTTTTATTGAAAAATCGCACAAGTTAAGAACCCGATAAAATAGATAAGTGGCTAGAAAGGTGATAGAACAAAGACGCCAATGACGTTGCATTGACAATGGTCACGCACGTTGAAACACGCATGCAAAATTCAAGTCGGCACTCACTCCTTTTCGCACGCACTCAGCAATCAGCTACGTTACAGATTTCTTCGATCAGTGCAAGTATGCACGCCGTGCACAGAGGACGGCCCGATCGCGAAATTCGAATAGTGAAAATGCTTGCACACCGTTCACAGAAGACGGCTGGTCGCGAGGCAGCTCCGCACGCGGGACGAAGTAGTCGACTACTGACCGATGCGAAAACAGCCCGACACAAATATCATTTTATAAAAAAAAATGATCACATCTCACGTATGTCTAATTGTACTTCTCGAAAAAATAATTATTTGTTATTGTACCATTATATTTCTCATAAAAAATAAAAAATATCGTTATCGATAATTCACCTCCTATTTATTCACATAAAGACATAATTAAGCAAAAATAAATTCACAGAAAAATTGTACCTTCTGTAGTCTAAATTGTACCATCAGTACAATTCTATAAATTTGTTTCTAAAAGAAATAATAGGACAATTACAAGTTACCACTAATTGTTACAACTTGCAAGGGTGTCATTCGGAAATGCACTTTGCGCAGGCGTAGAGCTTTGTAATTGTTCTATTATTTCTTTTAGAAACAAATTTATAGAATTGTACTGATGGTACAATTTAAACTACAGAAGGTACAATTTTTCTGTGAATTTATTTTTGCTTAGTTATGTCTTTATGTGAATAAATAGGAGGTGAATTATCGATAACGATATTTTTTATTTTTTATGAGAAATATAATAGTACAATAACAAATAATTATTTTTTCGAGAAGTACAATTAGACGTACGTGAGATGTGATCATTTTTTTTTATAAAATGTTATTTGTGTCGGGCTGTTTTCGCATCGGTGACTACTGCCGGCTCGGCCGGAAGAAAGCAACATGCTCGATGATAGCGGTGAGGCAGTGCCGTTCGGCGCTGCCACCGCGCTAGGTATTACGGGTCCTAGCACCCATTCAGACAACATTCAGGCAAAGCGCGCGCAAACGCAATTAACAAACGAGTTTTGTTAATTGCGTTTGCGCAACATATTTACAACATAACAATTATATACTTACATTACATACTTAACATTTTTACGCAACATTAATTGCGTAAAAGATGTTGGTTTTTCGTCAGAGAATTACTATACCTTAGGTGGCATGCCTGGTGAAATTTAAGCGTAGTAAAAGAAAGAAATTATATATAAAAAAATACTCTTTCTTTATATGTATATTAATTTAAGGAAAAGGGAAGAAATAAACAATGTCTGTGTAAAGGGAAAAGCTCAGTACGCACAAAAACCCTTTTTATTGAATAAATGAAATTAATGAGATAATCAAAAGAAATAAGAATAGATAATGAATAATGACATAGATATAGGAAATAATAATAATAAAGTGAAGTGTAATTGCTAGTTCATACGCACGCACTTTTATTTTCTACGCTCGCAAGACAACAATTTATCCATTGGACGCAGACGGTAATTATTACTTAATAAAAAGAAGTAGTAAAAGAAAAGTAAAATTATTTGAACACGGTTGGTGTTGCAGGATGCAAACCTACGTGTGAAAAGGAGAGTGTGTCGGTATTGCAGTGAGCAGATTTTCCGGCCACACGTGCAATGAGCACAAAGAAAGAAAAAGATAAATAAGCTATCGAGAAGCTTGTACTATCTCACATAATGAATGTAAAATAGTTTAATGTTATTTAGGTTTAAGATGATTTACATCACTAGACATTTTTAAAGTATTCGATTAATTCTTTGGTTTAGTATGCACGTGGTGCAATTTAAAATGGCGGAACAATGAACCTTTTTAATTATTCAACGATCGGCAGGGGGCAAATTTATGATTTTGTTATTATGCCTTCGATGGCTTAACTTTGACACTCACTTGTTAAATAGAGTGCGCAATTCGTTTATTTGCGTCTTTGTAGTCACTCGCGATACCGTGATTTTAAGATAAGACTAGAAAAGCCGAACTAAGTTGTTCCCGGATCTCAAGCAGGAAGAAGACTGACAGTTTTTGAGGTCGAAAAAGTTAGCACCCAGAATCCTTTTTTTTAAGCTAATCGATAAACTAATTATGCCGTTAGATATTTCGTCAGGATAGCAACAACTTTTCTCTTTGTCGTTTGTTGGTTCGTCCACTGGAAATCCTTAAAATTAATAAAATAAGTCTTGGGTGCTGGCCTTAGCACCCAAACCAAAGTTGCGGTCAAACCTAGAAAATATTAAGTAAAAAAAATTCGTAAGTAAACCGATCGTTAGTTCGTCTTACGAACTAACAGCACTCAAAATAAAATCATGACTAATTTGATTATTTAAGCAACTAAAAATAAAAAACTGTTTCGAATATTGGCTCACGTTCAAACGCCAAAGCGCGGTACGCATGCTTCCTGAATTATCCCCGCCGGTACCCGAACCCCCGCTCTTATTTGTTACTACACCTGTTTGATTTTAATACATCAGATCAAATCAAACTTTATAGTAACATTAGTAAACATTAGTAACTAGTACCTATTGTCCGATCAATGGGTAAATGGAATTTAAAAAAGTTACGCTTCGCGTATTAATTACTCAAGTACGTAAGGAATTGTTCAACAGTGGCACTGGTAACTAAATAGCACACGAGCACACCGGTTTTTGTTTGAACACTTTTTTAACCTAAAAAAGTAGCTATTGTGATAAATTCATACTAATATTTAGCAAAGTGCACTTTTACAGTCTCTTATGAGATCTGTTGGAGTATTAATATTACAAGATTTAAAAAACAGTAGTACATTTCATTGGAATTGTGAATAATTATACGATTACTTGCAATAAATATGCATAGAAGAATCTTGCTTTTGCAAAGTACCCTGCCTAGCGATTGGATAGAGAAGAAAACTCTTGACAGGGCAGACAGATTACCTTTGATAGAAAATTTTACAAACAGTGTTTCAATTAGAGAAGGCAAGCTACTACGTGATTGGGATAGAGAAGACGATGCAAGATTAGCAAAGAGAATGCTCATTGAGGTTTGTATTCAGTTTATTGTTTCAGCAATAATCTGTGAACGAATAAAGCATATATTCAATGCATTTCAGGTATATTGCTGTAGACTACAAAAAGCTCAACCATTAGGCCATACATTGTGGCCAGCAATGGCGTGCACAATGCCTGTTAGGATGGATACCATATCACAATCCAAATAACAAAAATTCTCTTAGACAGCAACCCTAATAGAAGTCTGTGGTAGCTATGTGCTTGAGAGTTGTCTAATGACAATCGAGTTGGTAAGTGGCAATCAATTTTTTTCTAGCTCATAAATTAGATTTTCTTTATTAAGAATATTTTTTATTTCATCTTATAGAACGCAGTGGCCAAATACGAGTAGTCCGCTGAGCAGCTGCAAACTACGAGGATTTTTGCCTAGTAGAAAAGAAGCAGTGCAATTTTGTCAACACGATGACCAGCCTTGGCAAACCACGAAACCCCCGGTACGGAGACTGCAAGTCGTTATCTACACTTTGTGAGTCTCAAGTTCGTTAACGGTAGTTTCAATCACGCTTTAAAAACGGAAAACGGTATCAAGTTCAATTTAAAGCCCAATTGCACTCATATGATAATGTTAATGTTAATTTTCTATTTTTCATGACATACGACCCTTGTGTCAAAATATAAGTATATTTGAATATCACACAGTGATATAATATTAACCATGTTTTTTATTAACAAGAATTTCTGGATTATCACTTAATTTAAGTGGAAAATTGACAATGCAATATTTTTAATTACATCAGTTGCAAACAAAACTCGTTTTTGCCAAAACGATGAAGAATAAATAAAATTCATTTTAAAAAGCTCGCGCCAACTTGCGTGTGTGATGCGCTAGTTCGCTATTGGAGCGCACAAGTATGGCTCAGTTTTGGGCGCGTGTTCTTAGAACTTTCAATCTTGTTGTTTGTCATTTGATCCATTATAGTGCATTTAGAGAACGGCGCGAGCAGTTTCACTTTGATATCTTGATAATCGCCTTAAATTATCTAGTTGCAATAACAAAAGCCTGCGAATCTCTAGAGAGAATGTGGAAGGTGAAACCTCGTGTTCGGGAATAATCGTTAATTTCAGTGATACTACTTGCAGGAGCAGATGATGACTGCATCGACGTTTAATCCGGAATGAGTTTTGGTTACTCGTCGTTAAGGAGCCATTGCAGCATGTGAACAGTTGACAATTTGGAAATTCGAAGAAGCATTTCAATGACAACAACTGCATCATGATGCTATGGTATGTGCAACAATTATCATCACGTGCTTAACTAAATGCATTTATCCAACTCAGATATTCATTCTTTCTCTCTCTCTCTCTCTCTCTCTCTCTCTCTCTCTCTCTCTCTCTCTCTCTCTTTCAATTTTCATTATTCAGTACTGTGATTCCATTTATAGCGCTGTGATCTCAACTTATAATTTTCAATTTTACTTTATCTCACTCGTACGTTTATTTTGGTACTATTCCCTTATACCAGCAGCAATTTTCATTACTACCTTATATGATTTTTCAGATTCCTTGACGTACAAAGTCTTTTTTTTCTCAACAATCAACTGCGACTTCTCATCGTCGAATGAAAACTAGCTCGGTTTGTGACTTCATTAATTGTTTGTATTTTTAATTATTCCATCATAATAACGTTACATTAGTGTGATTGTTAATTTCTTCATTTCTTTATTTCAGATATCACAAGAATATTTGCTACTCGAGAAACACGGTTCATCAACCATTGTACATTTGACACCATGAAAAGAGGAAATAAATCTAAGGGTTTTCAAAGAACTGTTAAAAAGAAGGAGAGAAAAATAAATTACGATCAGAATGCTCAAGCCTCCTATCAAGTCGAATTGACAGAAGATGAGTGGAAAGAAATGGAACCAAATCCTGTCTCATGGAAATGTAGAAATACGTTTAGATTAAAAAAGATATGGACTCATATGATTGTATATAAACTCTTTTCACTTCACAAAATACCATGTCCGTTCAAATTTAAGAAGCATCATTTCCCAGTGGTTCCCAACAGCCTTTATTTTACTTTTTTTGGTAATTGTGAAGAATGTGGTAATCCAATATCTGGTTTTATGCAGCATGAACCTCAGAAAAATTCTCCAATTACAATAGAGATAAGTACCCATGACACTCGCAATCTCATCCATGAAACTAGCACTCATCTTGCTAATGAGCGAAGGATCAAGGAAGGACAAAAATTGGCGCACACCAAACCAAAAAGATATGTTGACGAACAAGCAGCAGATACAATCAACGATAGCGGTACAAAACCGCCGTACTTTATCAAGGAATCTGTTGCTCGTACAGCTCGACAGGAAGTTAGAGATAGGCAAATTGGTATTGATAAGTATTCGCAGGATTCTGTGATTGCTATATTGCAGATAATGGATGACGAAGAAGATATTCTACAGTTTGGGGTGGACTTAGTTAAAATTTATTATTGGATGAAAAATCAAACAACTTTGTGGAACGAAGCTAACAAACTACATTTGCCTATTTCGATCGACGCGACTGGATCTATTGTAAAACGTCTGAATATCATTGACGATATTAACAGTTCTGCAATTTTTTTGTACAACATCACAATAAGATTTCTAAAGCAAGTATTTAGCATTTGCCAGATGTTATCTAGTCAACATGACTCGGGAACTATTGCAGAGTGGCTCGAGGCTTGGATCGAAAGTGGAGCCAGTATTCCCAGTCAAGTAACAGTAGATTGCTCATGGGCACTACTAATAGCCGTTTGTTATGTATTCAATGACTGCGATTACTTTGAATATAACGATCGCTGTCATCGATACGTCGTAGAATATAACGCAAAATTGAAATTGAGGGAAAAACCAGAAGATCCTATAGTTATGATCAATCAATTGCCTGTTTGTCGAATAATGAGGGATCGAGCTCATTTGATAAAATCTTCGTGCAAATGGAAATGTTTCAGTCATGGACAGTACTGGACGAAAAAAGATTTTTATGTTCGCGTTATCGCGTTCTGCCTTGAAATCGAAAATATTGAAGAGTTGAATGACGTTATTCTTGCATTATTTGTGATATGTACATCTCAATACTTCGATGAAGCTAGTCATTGTTATGAGAAGTATCAATTTTTGAAGGAAAAAATAAGGACTTTTCATCACAAACAATTTAATTTGGATATTGATTCCACTTGTGATAATGAACATTGCAGCTTTCTCAAAGAGTTTGATACAGATGAAAAGCTCGACTTATTTGAATGTCCAGCAGGCGATATAAAAATCCATATCTCCAGACTAAAAATCCGTAGTGAAACGTTAGCAGAAGAAGACTCTTCTTGCAATTATAGTAAAGGTAATCCGTATTGGTTGCCAGCTATCTTGAACAATTTGATTAGACTTTTTAGAGAATATCCTAGCTGGACGAACGTAACTAGACTGCTCTATTCCTTTAATGTAAATAAAGTCGCTACGTCAACAGGATCTGAAGTGTATTTTAGAATCATGAAAATTGATTATGAACTAATGCGTCTGTCGTTACAAAGATTATTATTGCAGCATTTAAAGATTCTCAGGGGTGCAACTCGCAATGGTAGGAGAGAATTACTGAAATATAAAGAGCTAAAAGCTCGAGAAAAAACAGATGTGCTTGTCGAACCCGACGTCCCCACTTCAGACAATTTTAAGGATGTTCAACTCAATTGCCAACCAGTGAATTCAAGACTCGAAAGTAACTGTGAGCCGCTATGTGTTAAATCTGATACATCGAGCAAATATAAGCGCTTTCCAAAAATTGACACTCCTGAAGACAGAATTCTTATTTTGAATATTGATAAAGAAAAAACATTTAAATACGTTGTAAATATGGCCTTCTATGACTATAATTTACCATACGCGCTCAATGCTAACGGTTGTAATTTAACTTTACAAGCATTCATGTCTCTGAAACCGAGACAATTCATATACGACGAAGTAATCGATGCAGTCATGTGCATATGGAAACGTAAAGCAGAGTGGCAAAATGTTTTTTTTGTGCCCACGACACAGACTAATTTCATTCTTGGTGATCAGTACCATCAAAGCCACCCTCCAAATTGGATTATGTATAATATTAACTTCAATTTTTACGGAATTGTTTTTATGCCTTTTTGTTTCAAACAGCACTGGTGTTTAGTCATGTTGAATGTTCGCAGAAAAATGATTTATTATTTCGATCCAAAATACGATCATACTAAGGAGAGACCTGTGAAAGCGTTAAAAACCTATTTCAAAAGATGTAAAGATATATTTAAACAAAAATGTGGGACACTAAAGGAAGTTGAAGTCAACAATTTATCAATGATTCAATGGAAAGATACTGGTTCCACTAATGATCGTAACACGCAAGGTCTTCCGCATCAAACCGATGCATACAATTGTGCTCTTTTTATTTTACATTACATGGCTATTCTCTCCGGAGTCGATGGTGTTGAATTGTTCAATCCAGATGATTATAGACTTTCCATTGCTGAATTACTTTTGCGAGAATTGGATATAGCAAATGTTAACTGTTTATTCTGCTACAACAAAAGAAGAGGATATAAAATTATGTTTTGCATAAAATGCCACAGATGGGCTCACGTAGAATGTATTACAAGAACGAACTCTATGATTGAAAACAGAGTTTGCGAAATTTGCTCCTTGAATATCCATATCTCGTCGTTGTAGCGTTTTATTTTGTTCATACTGTCAACGGCTTAGACGTTTCATTTTTAAATTGAAAGCGCGCGCGCGCATGATTTGTTTAGAAGCCTTGAATTCTAGTATAAGCCATCAACTGCTATCGTCAGCATTTGCTCACTCTGTCGCTCTCACAGCAGAGCTTTATTGATTGTAAACGATAGTCATAATGAAAAAATATGTACAATATTTATATCGATCAATACAAATTAATGCTAAGTAAATAAATAGGCAACATTACTTGAAACCAATTATTTTTAATAATTAATTTGCCTAGAATTGATGATTACATATATTTGAAAACATAGATTATCAAAATGAATATTAATTTAAGTTAACATTTCATATTCAAAGGCAATTTATTGATCGAGATAACGAGAGTAGTTAACTGTGAGTATAGTTACATTCCCAAATTAATGTAGAAAAATTAAACATGTTCAAATGTTACTTAATTAAAAAGAGATTTAATTACTTATTTTAATGTATACCAATGAAATTATTTTGATTTTAGGCAGTTTATCCAGTTTCTGTATTTTTGTTTTTGTACCGCTACGTTTATCCCAAAATTGTTGTATTGTTTGACAATAAGCGACGTACATAGGATTACTTATTGAATCTAGCGTTATAACACCTACTAATGCGTATTGAATTTTCTCTTCATTTAGATTCGACGGTACATTTATTATAGTAGGGGCTGCATTGACAAATTCAAAAATATTGCTTTGTTCAATGTCAATGCATAAATACGCTTCCCAATAGTAATAAACACTCATACTGTCAATGTTGGTTCTTGGGCATTTTGTACAAAAGTTTTCAAGAGATTTGTTTAGAAAATATAAATCTAGAAATATTTGCAAATCATTCAATCTTTCACATGGATATATTTCTAAAGAAATGACAGTTTCATGCAAATATTTAACATTTTCATTACACAACAAACAAGTGATCGCCATCGAAAAAGAATAATGACTTCCTATTGCAATTTTAAAGAATTTACATAAAGATTCATCAATCCTTATGAAATTACCGTGATAATCAACAGTGGCATATCTGTACAACAATTTCGCTCGTTGATCATACATTTTACTTGTTAAACCTGTAGTACAATATTGTTTAATCATTTGCATAAAGCAATCATTTTTGCAGGATGAAACGCAAAGTTTGTCATTCAAACATAACTTTTGAAAGGTATTGAAATTTTTACAAGCAAAGGAAAAGATCTCAGCGAAGACGTCAATTTTAGACGTATCTTCAATTGTAAATCTTTGTGAATTTATCGTTCTTCCTTTTAATTTTATTGCATTGCGAATTATGGAATCTTTTCCTTTACTTGTAGCTACTTGTTCATGTGCTAGTTCAAAACCTGGTGCTGCTACATGCCATTTACTATTGTTTTTTTTAACGCTAACATAAATGTGATTATTGATTTGACGTACTTTTCTTTGCTTCGAATTATCATCTTTCAATTGAAGATTTTGGTCGCTAGTGTTTGCATCAAGCGTACAATTTGCAAATAATTGTCGATTGTCATTATCACTGAATTTATCATTGTCACCTGTCATTTTTTTCCTCGAAATACTTGTGCTATTGCTGGGCGATTGTGAATTTTCCCGTGCGTAACTATGTTCCAACCAAACTTTAAGTATGGAGCCATTATTTGTTTCATAGCTTACAAATGATGAGTTTGCCAGCGGTATGAAATTTTCGTCACTCTGTTCAAAATTACTGATGTTATTATCAGGACACGATATGCTCTGTTCTTCAATTATTGTGGAAAAAACATTTGCATGTGATTGATCAGCTTGTGCAACGCCTATTGGTAAAGAATCTTTCTCGTGGCAATGAATTTCGTCATTTTCACAAAAGAATGTATGTTCTTTTTGAGATTCTGTTTTTACTGAAGTATTTGATTTACCGGTAAAAAAGATGTCCATCGACTCCGGTAGAATATCCGTACCATCGATACAATCATATGCATATTCACATTCGATAAAAGGTTCTTTATTTATTCCTAATGTAGGCTCATACTCTAGATGCTCTATGCTTGCAGCTTTCTGAAGACCTATTTCTTCAATTAGTGTCTCACAGTCAATTTTTGCTTGTTCTTCAATATATATTGCTTTCGAAGATTTGTCAGTTTCACTCTCTATTACAACTGCATTAGTTTTTAGAATTTCGTTGACTAATTTATTAGCAGTTTTGTAACAATCGTTTTTGCCTCTCCAGTTTTCTTCATATCTTTGATACATTTGTTTTTCATTTGATTCATTTGTCTTGATATATTTATTGACAGTTTTTGTTGTTCGTCTTTTTCGATTGTTTAACGTAGCTTTCGCTTTACGCATAGAATCCTTAGATATCATGATAGTGTCACTTAAAAAATTAGTGAAATTTTGTTGATCGGTGCGTAACTTTTTTTGTTGAGTGGTAACATCAAGCACGAAATCTAAATTCAAATCATCTAAGAGAAATGCTGTCCACGATGGGAACGAGCTTAACAAAAATACCAACTGGGCATCGTACCATTCTGGAAAAGCATACACATTAGGACGATCTCCATTTGAAATAACATAAATTTTTGCTTTTAAATCTTCAATGTAACTGAGCACTTGTATTAGTTTCTGCTTCTCATTATTAAAAATCCTGCACGGATCAATAAACTTGCATTCTTTATACTCTAAAAATTTTTTATAAGTATTTTGTACTTTTGATTTTTCCAACTTTGCATCCAATGCTTTTTTCTGCTCAGCAACATGCTCATTATCGTATGGCGACAACAGACAAATTAACATACAAGTGACAGTGTTTTCAAAGTCGCCTAAAGTCTTGACAAATCTCATGTAAATGATGCACTGAAGATAAAATTTTCGAACTATAGGTATTAGATTATTAAAATATTCAGATTCATCGATTCTCAATAAAATACTTATCAAGTCAATATTCAGTAGTACAGCAGGCAATGACTCAGACTGCTTTTTAATAAATTTCAAACATTGTTTCGTGTAATCATTAAATGTACACATGTTAAGAGCAAGACAAACATTATTTATAAGACCATCATGATATGCAATATGGAATTGTAAAGGTAAATCCATAATCTCATCCTTTAAAAAATTTAAAAGAAAGTATTTGATGTTAAAACATTTCAATTTCTCACAGATGATTTGAGAAAGGTATACTGGATGATTTTCTATCTTTGAAACTATTGAAATAATGTAATTTCTACTACTTTTATAATTTTTCAACTCAATGAGCGGTGCATCGACTTCTACAGTTGTTAGACCGATACTGTAATCTGCACGAACTAATAGTTTGAATGTATCTTTATGCTCTGTACATTTTAGTTTAACAGAAAATGGTCGCAAGCATACATCTTTAATCGTGTCGTTATACAGTACATTATATTTCATGCGTAACAAGTTATCGTATTCATCTGGCATCGAATTTTTTTTTTCAATAATAATATTATTATGATTATCTTGCACAGATTGATCGCAATAATCATTTCCTTCAGAAGTATCAGATTGACGCTCTTCTGCCTGTACAGGTTCGCGTACAAGTGTCGGACACTGATAACGCTGGAGATCAAGTTTTAGTGATTTTTTGTGCTTGATCACGGTCATATAAATATTGTGGACAGTCATAGGCGACAATAGTTCACTGGCTTTATTCCAAGGTCGGTTTCCATGCTCATCAACGTACCTCTCTTTTCTTAAATTACCTTCCTTGTCGAATATTGAGAATTGTTTCAATACGTTGAAAATTTCCACGTGAGTTTTTACTGGTTCACGAGGCATATTCTATAATTGAATCTTCATGTAAATTCATAAGACTCCTTGATCATCATCAGTTTAAAATTAGTACTTGTATTAGTATTGTATATGAGCAATTATACATATGAATATCAAGTATCTCACCGATGTCATTCTAGTAATTCAATCATGTTCAGTATGCAATTGCAAATCATGCAAGTATCATGACAGCCACAAACCGAGCTAGTTTTCATTCGACGATGAGAAGTCGCAGTTGATTGTTGAGAAAAAAAAGACTTTGTACGTCAAGGAATCTGAAAAATCATATAAGGTAGTAATGAGAATTGCTGCTGGTATAAGGGAATAGTACCAAAATAAACGTACGAGTGAGATAAAGTAAAATTGAAAATTATAAGTTGAGATCACAGCGCTATAAATGGAATCACAGTACTGAATAATGAAAATTGAAAGAGAGAGAGAGAGAGAGAGAGAGAGAGAGAGAGAGAGAGAGAGAGAGAGAGAGAGAGAGAGAGAGAAAGAATGAATATCTGAGTTGGATAAATGCATTTAGTTAAGCACGTGATGATAATTGTTGCACATACCATAGCATCATGATGCAGTTGTTGTCATTGAAATGCTTCTTCGAATTTCCAAATTGTCAACTGTTCACATGCTGCAATGGCTCCTTAACGACGAGTAACCAAAACTCATTCCGGATTAAACGTCGATGCAGTCATCATCTGCTCCTGCAAGTAGTATCACTGAAATTAACGATTATTCCCGAACACGAGGTTTCACCTTCCACATTCTCTCTAGAGATTCGCAGGCTTTTGTTATTGCAACTAGATAATTTAAGGCGATTATCAAGATATCAAAGTGAAACTGCTCGCGCCGTTCTCTAAATGCACTATAATGGATCAAATGACAAACAACAAGATTGAAAGTTCTAAGAACACGCGCCCAAAACTGAGCCATACTTGTGCGCTCCAATAGCGAACTAGCGCATCACACACGCAAGTTGGCGCGAGCTTTTTAAAATGAATTTTATTTATTCTTCATCGTTTTGGCAAAAACGAGTTTTGTTTGCAACTGATGTAATTAAAAATATTGCATTGTCAATTTTCCACTTAAATTAAGTGATAATCCAGAAATTCTTGTTAATAAAAAACATGGTTAATATTATATCACTGTGTGATATTCAAATATACTTATATTTTGACACAAGGGTCGTATGTCATGAAAAATAGAAAATTAACATTAACATTATCATATGAGTGCAATTGGGCTTTAAATTGAACTTGATACCGTTTTCCGTTTTTAAAGCATGATTGAAACTACCGTTAACGAACTTGAGACTCACAAAGTGTAGATAACGACTTGCAGTCTCCGTACCGGGGGTTTCGTGGTTTGCCAAGGCTGGTCATCGTGTTGACAAAATTGCACTGCTTCTTTTCTACTAGGCAAAAATCCTCGTAGTTTGCAGCTGCTCAGCGGACTACTCGTATTTGGCCACTGCGTTCTATAAGATGAAATAAAAAATATTCTTAATAAAGAAAATCTAATTTATGAGCTAGAAAAAAATTGATTGCCACTTACCAACTCGATTGTCATTAGACAACTCTCAAGCACATAGCTACCACAGACTTCTATTAGGGTTGCTGTCTAAGAGAATTTTTGTTATTTGGATTGTGATATGGTATCCATCCTAACAGGCATTGTGCACGCCATTGCTGGCCACAATGTATGGCCTAATGGTTGAGCTTTTTGTAGTCTACAGCAATATACCTGAAATGCATTGAATATATGCTTTATTCGTTCACAGATTATTGCTGAAACAATAAACTGAATACAAACCTCAATGAGCATTCTCTTTGCTAATCTTGCATCGTCTTCTCTATCCCAATCACGTAGTAGCTTGCCTTCTCTAATTGAAACACTGTCTGTAAAATTTTCTATCAAAGGTAATCTGTCTGCCCTGTCAAGAGTTTTCTTCTCTATCCAATCGCTAGGCAGGGTACTTTGCAAAAGCAAGATTCTTCTATGCATATTTATTGCAAGTAATCGTATAATTATTCACAATTCCAATGAAATGTACTACTGTTTTTTAAATCTTGTAATATTAATACTCCAACAGATCTCATAAGAGACTGTAAAAGTGCACTTTGCTAAATATTAGTATGAATTTATCACAATAGCTACTTTTTTAGGTTAAAAAAGTGTTCAAACAAAAACCGGTGTGCTCGTGTGCTATTTAGTTACCAGTGCCACTGTTGAACAATTCCTTACGTACTTGAGTAATTAATACGCGAAGCGTAACTTTTTTAAATTCCATTTACCCATTGATCGGACAATAGGTACTAGTTACTAATGTTTACTAATGTTACTATAAAGTTTGATTTGATCTGATGTATTAAAATCAAACAGGTGTAGTAACAAATAAGAGCGGGGGTTCGGGTACCGGCGGGGATAATTCAGGAAGCATGCGTACCGCGCTTTGGCGTTTGAACGTGAGCCAATATTCGAAACAGTTTTTTATTTTTAGTTGCTTAAATAATCAAATTAGTCATGATTTTATTTTGAGTGCTGTTAGTTCGTAAGACGAACTAACGATCGGTTTACTTACGAATTTTTTTTACTTAATATTTTCTAGGTTTGACCGCAACTTTGGTTTGGGTGCTAAGGCCAGCACCCAAGACTTATTTTATTAATTTTAAGGATTTCCAGTGGACGAACCAACAAACGACAAAGAGAAAAGTTGTTGCTATCCTGACGAAATATCTAACGGCATAATTAGTTTATCGATTAGCTTAAAAAAAAGGATTCTGGGTGCTAACTTTTTCGACCTCAGTTTTTGGCGGTTGCATGCATGTGCTTCGCTTATCGTCTAGATAACCGGGAGCCCCACATGTCGCCATCTAACGTGTGCATAACTACTCACCGTCAAGATTGAACAAGCGCCACGAGTATGAGTTACACCGTAACAGATGTAGCGACGCTACACACAACGAATTTTGTACAAGTTTTTGACAAATTTTTTCAGAAAACATGAACAAAATGTGACGAATTTTGTACGAATATTACACAAAGTCTACACAAATTGTCTATATATTCTTGTAAAAATTTCGTACATATAATGTACAAAATTTTTATATTTATTTCAGTGGGGAAGGATAACTTCCTGTGACTTTTTTGAATCTCGTGAATCATATTGGAATAGATACTCCAGAAAAAGGGCTCGAGTAACAAACTTCTGTGTTCCATAGTTTTCAAAATGCCGTGTGTAAAATACATCACGCACATTCGGTGGAAAACGTGCCGCTCGGGCTTACACACTAGACAAGAATCTTTTTCGCACTAGTCAGGTACTATTTTAATTCTTTTCCATAGCTTTATAATAATTTTCAAATACTTGCGTTACATACCTTTTATTTATTTATATTATTCAAATTTTTAATTAATTTTAGATTAATTATCTTTATTCCGAAAATATCGCAGTCATTGCGAATTGTGCTTACGTTTTCTCCGCGACTATTAGCATTTCGCGCGGATTTAGAAACTAGTGTAAATCTGATTTTTGACAAAAGCCCAACCCCGTGATCTTACACTTGGGTTCCAGATAAATTTTCGATTAGAAATGACTCGTTGACAAAAGTGCATTTTCAAAGAATTCACAGTTAAATGTTTTCAGGTTTACAGTGAGTCCTAACGTCACCATTACTTATGCAATAGTAAGTCAAAGTAATTCTTCAGTCAGAAAACAAGGCCTAACAGATTGTATCGAAGGATTAACATTCACAGATTACACATGTTCCAACCAGCAAGCTCTATTTAAAAAATGTTACGTTATTTTTGAAATATCGGAACCTATTCGGTAACAAAATGTTTCCCTTTCATTGGTAAAAAATATTGCTGAAACATTGTCACAATAGTTGCTATATATGATAATTATACACACTTGAATGAGCTATTAATATGAGATTGAATAATAAAGTGAAAGTAACTTCATGGTGCTTTATAAATATGTTACTATTACAAATATTAACAAATTATATATTAGTTCCGCACATTAGTTTTTGCACATTTTACAAAGACCTGCATGCATTGAAATTAAAGATTATTTGTTAATCTATTCGACTTTTCTTTTTTTTATATCCTTAATCTTATTACATTCTAATTCTCTTTTCAAAGTCAATTCATCTTGTCGCAATTTCAAAATTGATTGGTTGTTTGACTTTGAACACTTGTCAAGAGCATTCTTCATTACTTCTATTGCTTTTTGGGAATTTTGGCATAGAGAAATTTCCAATGCAGTATTCAGGTATTTACCAGAAAAATTTTTTGGAAAAAGACTTTTCTTCATAAGGTTATTTAGATGATTTCTTTTTGCATTTAAAATTCTTCTAAATTCTAATTTTTCCTTTGTGTCTATGCCACTACTACTATAAAATCGTTATAAACAAGTTAATGTATGTATTATATTTGCTCTAATGCCACATAGTATTATGTACTCACAATTCGTCATTATCTAAAAGAATATCCATTTCTTTAGCTGCTTTTTGTAACCATCCATTATGAAAATTATCTCTGCGGTAAGTTAATTGCAATTTATCAATTTCTCTAGCCACGTTTACTCTTTCTTTGACAGCTATCAGTAAACGATCAATGATCGGAAAATTTGGTAAATCCTCAGCTGAAAACACCAATTTAAATGATATGATTATATCTATGATATTATGATTATATCTCTGATTATTATATGATTATGATTGTAATTTCATATATAATTTATATTTTATGATGGATGTGTTGATATTTACTTCGATTAAGAGTTTTACAGAGTCGACTATACAATTGTTTTTCAGATGATTCCATTATTAGTACTGTAATTCCTTCTTTTTTAGCTCTAGCTGTCCGACCACTTCTATGTACATAGCTCTTTAATAAAAAAATATTTAGATCAAATTAATACTCAGTATTCTATATAATCATTTCATTTATTTTTAAGATAAATTAACCTCTGATGTTTTCGGAACTTGATAATGAATAACATTTTCTATGTTAGGTATATCTAGTCCTCTGGCAGCAACATCTGTTGCTATTAGTAGTGCATGATCATTAGCTTGAAACCTGAAAAATGAATATATTTTTTTTTACAATCTTGATTTTAATTGAAGTAATGTACCTTGATATTACCGTTCCAGATTTTTTAATCTATGGCGTTGAGGCATGCTTGCATGCAGAGGTAATGGATTACAGTTCAAAATTCCTAATAAGGTAGTTAATCTTTTGACACAACCTATACTGTTACAAAACACTAATGTTCTTCCTGAATATCTTTGTAGAAAGTAATACAAATAATAATCTTTATGGTCAATTGTACATGCTATCTTGCATTCAGTCAAGGTGTCAGGTGTACCTAATACATCAAAGTGTTTATATTAATAAGAAGCTAAAATAAAAAATTAGATACAGATATCTACCTGTGTTTTTTGTAATATCAATTATTTTTGGATTTTTAATATTTAACATTTCAATAACTCTGTGTAACTTTTGACCAGGTGTCAACTTAAAAATCTTACTTTTAATATTTTTCACTTTTTTTCTTTGCAAATACTCTGGAATATCATGAATTAATGTTAAAGTAGCAGAAAAAACAAATATCTTCATAAATCTAGATTTTTTGGCATTTATTCTTTCAATAATATTATGTAATTCTTTAAAATGCCCTCTTTCAAGCATTCTGTCTGTTTCGTCAATTACTAAATATCTATAATATAGAATAGATATTAGGTTAAATTATTTAAAAATTAAAATTAGAGTAATACTTTAAAGGTATCTATAATATTTTAGTAATTAATGTAACATAAGGCAAGAAGACATACAAATTTACCTTATTGAAGCAATCTTACTGAGGTGTGAATTTTCTTTGTCTATTAATTCCCATAACCTACCAGGTGTAGCAATCACTATCTCTGGACTTTCACCAAGTAACCTCTCTTGCTTTACAGCAGCCATACCACCCATGATTACTGCAATCTACAAAAAATATTGTCATTTCATATAAAATCTTAGGATCAATGTAATGATACGAAAAAAATACATACTTTTATATTAGTATATTTTGCTACTTTGATAAGATGATTCCTTATTTGAATAGCCAATTCTCTAGTTGGCGTTAAAATCAAAGCATAAAGTGGATTTCGAGACTGCTGATTATTATTTTTTTCCAATAGTACATTATTTATAACTTGTACTAAGCCAACGTTTTCATTTAATTCATTTAAAGTTGTCGTTGTCCTTCTGTTATTATTATCATTGTATAAAATATTGTTATCCTCATTATTGTTACTATTACTTTTGCTATAAAAAGTTTCAAATTGATCTGTCTCTTTAAAAATACCACTTGTACTTGCAACAGTTTTATCATATTGCTTTTTCAATTCTATAATGCCATTTAATATTGGTATACCAAAAGCCAACGTTTTACCACTACCAGTTTCTGCAGCACCAAGAATATCTTTATTTCCGAAAATTGCTGATGGTATTGATAGTGTTTGTATTAAAGTAGGAGTATAATATTTTTGCTCCAACAAGGCTTTGATTAATACCGGTGAAACACCTAATTGCAACCATCCTTCCATATTTGATGTTTCCATTTTTTGATGAAAAATATTTTTCAATTTTTTAATGTTACAAAAAGATGGACATTTAATTGAATAACACTAAATTCACTATGGATATTTACAGAAGAATTAACACTTTCAAACTGACATCAATTATTCAACTGTTTGAGTCATGGAGACTATATACAGGAGAACAGGGTTGGGCGATTCTGTCAAAAAGCATCCAGCAGTTGACTTCAGACTTCACAATTTTCGCTTCAGCTTTACATAAGGTCTATTCAACTCAAACTCTCAAAGTTAATAAGTAAAATGTTGGCAGCACTGCGGAAAGAGACAGATATAGAATCATGGAGACTGTATAAAGGAGAGGTAGCGCCATGTATAAGAATTTCCGGCTAGTCCCGAGCCTCAGCCAAGCACTGACCCTCTACCCCCAGCGCCTCTCTCGGTGACCAGACCACGCGAGATACCGCGTTACCGACGCGACCTGTCCCAAAGAGAATTGCATAGTCGAAATCATTATTTGAAAGAAAGATTATTGATGAAAATTTATGTGTAACAATTCGCTTGAGATCGAATGCATGACATTATAAGTAATTATAATTACTAAAACTTAAGCCCCTTTTCCCTTGATGAACTTGTACGATATTCATGTCAATGTCACTGTTTTGTCACGGTAGCTGCGGTAGCTAAGGCGTCCGTATGATTTTGCGATCGCAGGTTCAAATCACATTTTGTTTATTTTTTTTTTAATTTTTTTTTTATTTCTGTGGATTTTTGTTGATCAGTTGGCACAATAAATAACGATCAAGTTTATTTATATTACTTACTATAATTAATTAAATTATTCACTATGCATAAATGAATAAGTACATATTCATTTAGACTTTGTATCAGGCTGGAGTTTCGATAGTTTACTTTGGAAAAAAGGCTCCCTGAAGTTGTATACGCAGCCTACTTCCGTACGCTCTACCGAGCAACTGTTTTCTATTCCTCTCATTCCATGTTTCCCGCTCTCAAGTGCAATTTGGCGCGAAGTCACAGGCTACTATTTTTCTCTGAAATTACATGAGCTGAGCTGACGAGTAAAATTCAGACATTTAGAAGGCATTTATTAATCATTTTCAGGTGGAATATTATTATTATTCATCTTAAAATCGAGGCTAAACTGATAGTGGTAAGAATAATCAAAATTTGTATAAGCATGTCATTTTATGATTTTTATTTACATGCATGGAATTATTTTAAATTGAAGAAATGGTGTTTTAACAATGTTTTAAATAAATTTACGGTGGTTTATGGAAATGAACGTATAATTTTATGTACAAAAACCTCTTCCTGATATTAATTTTTTAATTACAAACATATAATTGTTATCCATTTTAACATATGGGTTAGGTAAATCGAAAGATATCTTTGTTTTTTTTTTTATGTTATTCTAAGTATACTAATCGTAGCTTATTTTTAATAGACATATGTATAGAATATTTTTTGTTCATAAAAATTATACATATTTTGTGTAATATTATAATATTGACATATTTGACACGTAAATCTCGGCTAAATAATTAATTATATTTTTTGTTGTGTTTTTATCAAATTCTACATTATAGTATCGTGTATAATTTGCAGTAATATTGTGTGGGCAAATTAATTCAATCAATTAATTATTTTTTAATTACTGCAAATAAAATGGTGATTGAGTAACATTTAGACAATTAAAAACTCATAACTGGTACGGAAAGATTTCTTTGTAAGTATATAGAACTCAACTCAATTTTTAGACGAAACGTAAAAAGCTTCTTGTTTAGTCCAAGTTAATTTATTGTTGTTATATTTTTATTAATTTTTCGTAACTATGCACATTTGCTTTTAAGAAATTTTCATTTAAAACCTCTAGTTTTTTCATGAATGCACATCACGATAGCAAATTAAAACAAAAAGTATAACAAATCTGTCTTGTAAAATTAATTTTTTTTATTAATGAAACATCGAAAAATCATTGCGATAAATAAACGTAAATGTAAAGCATTACTTTGAAATATAATAATATATTATATTCAATATATAATAATATATTATATTCAATATATAATAATATATTATATATAATATATAATAATATACTATATATAATATATAATAATATATTATATAAATTAATTGATGTTATTGAAGCACTAATTGTATCAACAATTTTGTTATATTGATTTAATATCGACGTTTTTCTCATGTTAAGATGTATCTGCATTTAAAAGATAATGCTTTTGTTATTATTAAATAAACCATTGATTTATATATATATATATATATATAATTACTGTAACAGGCTGTCGTTTAGTCGATAATCTCCAGAAAGTGCCCTTATTTCAACTAGACGAAGCCTTGTTATCTATGTGCTCAAAGCACAGTAACCTACCTTGCCAAAAAAGACCAAAATGTACTCGAACCCTCTCGAGCTCTTCGGGAAGGGGCCAGTAATGTCACTGGCCACCACCTGCCAGGGTCGCGAGACCTCTCGACGACCCATCAGCCCGCAAGGCGGCCTTTGCTCCGCCTTGCATTGCTGACATACCGGGCAACTCCTCACGTACTCTCTGACCTGATCATACATCTTTGGCCAGAAATACAGGTGCCTAGCCCGGGAGAACGTTCGTTCTCTCCCCTGGTGTCCCGCTGCTGGCGCATCGTGCACCTCCTCAAGTACTTGATGCCTCTTCTCGGCAGGAACCACTAGCTTCCAGGCTTCCTCGTTGTCGATGGACCCTTCGCTCTCCTCAGCCGGATTGTAGTGATACAATCTCCCTCCGACTACCTTCCAGGTAGGTTGAGAATGTGGATCCTGGCATACTTCTCTATACTTCTGAAGGTACCAGGCATCGGCAGTTTCCGGCTGATGAGTCATGGCACCCACTTCTACCACCCCCTTCTCATAGGCCCTAGATAAAGCGTCTGGCACCACGTTGAGGTCTCCTATTCGATACTCTATATCGAACACGTGTCCTTGTAGTGCTAACGCCCAACGCGCTAGCCTTCCTGTAGGATTCCTCATACTGTGGAGCCACTTAAGGCAACTATGATCGGTGATGACTTTGAAGTGGTGCCCCTCAACATAAGGCCGGAACTTCCCGATAGCCCATACTACTGCCAGGCATTCTCGTTCGGAGACTGTATAATTCCTTTCCGCACTGTTTAAGGAGCGACTGGCGTACTCAATTACGCGCTCCTGTCCATCGACTTCTTGCGTCAATACCGCGCCTATCCCGCTATCGCTCGCGTCCGTTTGTAACACGAACTGCGCGTTGGGATCTGGCGACTGCAAGATCGGCGCCGAGACCATTGCGTCTCGTAACCGTTCGAAAGCCTGCTCCTGTTCCTGCTGCCACGCAAACGGGATGCTCTTCTTCATCAGGCGGTTTATCGGCTCAGCGATGGTTGCGAAGTCGGGTATGAAGCGACGATACCACGACATCATCCCCATGAATCGCTTCACCTGTCTGATCGTCCGTGGTACTGGGTACTCCATGATGGGCTTGATCTTCTCTGGATCTGGCCTTACCCCTTCACGGTTCACTAGGACCCCCAGGTACTTGACTTCCGACTTACAGAAGTGGCTTTTGGTCTTATTCACAGTGAGGCCCGCACCCAGGATTCGTTGTAAAACCAATCCCAGGTGTCGCTTATGCTCCTCAAAGGACGGCGAGATAATAATCACGTCGTCAAGGTACGCAAAAGCGAAAGGATCTAAATCCGGGCCAATCACTCTGTCCATCAACCTCTGGAAAGTCGCGCCGGCGTAGGACAGTCCGAAGGGCATTCTCTTGAACTGAAAATGCCCCAGGCCAGGGACTGTGAACGCCGTAATGGGGCGCGACTCCTTTTTAAGAGGTATCTGGTGGTACGCGCTACTCAAGTCCAGTGTCAAGATGAACTTCGCATCCCTGATCCTTCGCAGGATGTCGCTCATGAAGGGTAATGGGTAGGCGTCCGGCTTAGTTACTGCGTTTACCTTCTGGTAATTCACGCAGAACCGGTATTTGCCGTCTGCCTTCTTAACCATCACCACTGGACTTGACCACCCGCTGGTTGCTGGTTCAATGACGTCGTTGTCCAGCATGGCCTTGACCAGCGCGTGCATTTCGTCTCGCACCCTGTCGGAGACCGGGTAGTATTTCTGTTTACAGGGTCGAGCGTCTCCGATGTCTATCTCATGCTCGACCCCCACAGTACAGCCTAAACACTCGCCTCCGTCTGGAATTAATCCATCGACGAGGCTAGCCACTTCTTGACGCTGTGCTTCCGTGGCTTCTACCAGGCCTACGGGTGCGAGGCACGACGTACCAGTGACGCTTGCCACTTCCAACGGTACCGCCACTTTGGCTTTCGCCAAGTACAGCTGGTCCGTATCAGGGTTCAGGTTGGCGCTGAATTCCCTCACGAAATTTGCGCCGACGTAGCAGTCATCAGACAGCAGTGGCGTTATAGCGACCCTTACATCTTTTGTGATTCCCCCTACTGTAAAGGGGAAAATCACATGACCCAAGATGGGACATGGGCGACCGTCGGCGAGCTTCGCTTCTCCCGCTCGTGTGACGTCCAGGCCCAGTCCCATGTCTGATGCCAACCTAAGCCCGAGTTGACCCATTACCGTTGATGAGGCCCCGGTGTCGTAGAGTGCCCTTAACTTGTAGGCACCTATCCCCACCTGAAGCCACCATCGGGTCTCATCCTCGGGTCTATACCTGCGGGGAGCTTTCGCCGTCTCTCTCCCCTCTGTGGACGGGAGGCTTTCACGGCTCTTCTTGCCCTGGGCAGCCGCTACTCGCATCGACGTGCTCTCACCCGCAGGTGTCTGGGTCGCCGGTGTATCCTCCGGAGTGTCAGGTGGTCTCCTGGAGCTTTTGGGTCTGATGGTCTCCTCTCCGACCCATTCAAACCCCTGCTCCACCACCTGAATCCGGCCTCCGTACCCTTCGAGGATACAAAATGCCCGGTTACCCAGATCAGGCATCTGTTCGGTCGCTGTCGCCTCCAACGCCACCGCACTGCCAGGTCTCGTAGGGTCCGATATTCCTGGCGAGATCTCCTGAACCCTGGGGTCGCTGGCGGGCCCCTGCCCCGTTCCAGCGACCCGCGACGAGAGGTCACCTTTACTGGGGACGCGGAGGGGACCTCCGTCCTCCGCTTCCCTGCCCGTTTCCCTTGTTGCAATCCGGGCAGTACCTTCTGGTAAAGCCTAGTTTGCC